GCGCCCCCAGGCGGTGATATTTCAAGCCCCTGGGGGGCCGAACGGCTGGGGATGCTCTAACTTCAGTATTAGAGTCCCCGAAAAAAAGAAAACTTCAGTATTAGAGAAGTATGCATACAGCATGACAAAGACCAGGACCTGGACTGGCTTTGCTTGTGGACCATACAATGGGAGTGGTTGTTGGTAAATTCTGATGAATATGTTGAGTACTGAGAGCTACGAGTCTTTGTATTTATGCATCTAAATTTGTGTATTTCAGGTAGACGGAGGGGTTGTCAACACTAAAATAACTCTCTAGATCTTAATGCTAGACGTGACACACAATGTGTGTTATTGAGCGAATGCTGGATACAGATTACAACTCCAACTTGTGCCGTGCTGTGCATGGTGGGCTGTCCGAATCAACAAATTATAGCCACACCTTGAGTATAGGAAAAGTATGCATGACAAGACCAAGATCAAGACGTGGGTTGTAGACCATACTCCTATACTGCGGTTGTGGTGGAACAGGGATAGAGATAAGCTGCTCTGTCATCCATTCTCCTTTCCATCCGCCATTTCCAATCAATATGACTAAGCTTGCGCTCCTCGTCCGAGGAACTGCACTACTGATTTGTCTATTGATCTTCCAAGCATCATCCACTTCACATGGCCAAGCGAGTGTATCAGGAGTCTGCATCGGCAGCGAGCGAGATGCGCTTCTGTCCTTCAAGGCAAGCCTCCTGGACCCTGCTGGCCATCTCTCGTCATGGCAGGGTGAGGATTGTTGCCAATGGAAGGGAGTCTGCTGCAGCAACAGAACGGGCCATCTCATCAAGCTCAACCTCCGCAACATCGACATGGAAATGGAAGACTACATGGACAACATGGGCTACTACATGTACGACTACAACTACCCGAACAGGAGCGGATCATTGAGCTTGTCGGCAGGCGAGATGAGCTCTTCTTTGGCGACTTTACAACACCTGAGTTATCTTGATCTGAGCTGGAATGACTTCAACGGCACAAGCATCCCTGTGTTCTTGGCTTCCCTCAAGAACCTAAGGTATCTCAACCTCTCGTCGGCACGATTCGGTGGGAGAATATCTTCCCAACTTGCCAATCTCTCAAAATTGGAATATCTTGATCTCAGTGGGAATTATAACTATTATGATGGAAATAACTCTTACATAGTGGATCTTGCATGGTTGCCACGTCTCTCTTTGTTGAGACATCTTGACATGAGTTCTGTGGATCTTGGTTCTGCGAGGGATTGGTTTCAGAGAGTTAGTATGCTTCCTTCTCTTAAAGTGCTTCGCTTGTCCGGCTGTGGACTCAATGGTACCGTGTCTGCTAGTATATCAATTTCCAACCTCACACATCTTGAGGTCCTTGATATATCCTATAACACCTTCAGAATACCTTCCCAATTTGGAAATCTCACAAAGTTGCAATATCTTGATGTCAGTGGGAATTATTATCCTGATGTGGCTCTTGCATGGTTGCCACGTCTATCTTTGTTGAGACATCTTGACATGACTTATGTGGATCTTGGTTCTGCGAGGGATTGGTTTCAGAGTGTTAATATGCTTCCTTCTCTTAAAGTGCTTGGCTTGTCCGGTTGTGGACTCAACAGCACCATGTCTGCTAGTATATCACTTTCCAACCTCACACATCTCGAAGTCCTTGATATGTCTGGTAACAACTTCTATACTTCACTCAAGCATGCATGGTTTTGGAATCTCAAAAGCCTTAAGGAGCTTTACCTCTCCGGTTCCAGCTGGATAGGGTCTATTCCTAGTGATTTGGCAAACATGACGGCCCTTCAAGTCATAGATTTAACTGGGAATCAGCTCGTGGGTTTGATACCAGAAAAATTGGGAAATTTGTGCAATTTGACCAGAATGAGGTTCAGTGGTAACAACATAGGTTCGAGCATAGGGGAGTTCATGGGGCGATTGCCAAAGTGCTCGTGGAATACACTGCAAGAATTCTCAGTGCAATATGCAAATATGACCGGGAATCTACCCGGTTGGATTGGGAACATGACCAATCTCAGTGTTCTTCAAGCATCTAAAAACATGTTAACTGGCACTCTACCTATAGGAGTTGGAGCATTGAGTACTTTGAAAATGCTGGACCTCGGGTACAATAACTTCAGCGGCGTGCTATTGAAAGAACATTTTGCAAGCTTAGGGAAATTAGAGGTTCTGGAGCTCGGGTACAATAGCTTCAGCGGTGTGCTCTTGAAAGAACATTTTGCAAGCTTAGGCAAATTAGAGCTTTTGGACCTCAGCTACAATAACTTCAGCGGTGTGCTCTTCAAAGAAATCTTTACAAGTTTAGGTAATTTGGAATATTTGGACCTCAGCTATAATAATTTCAGTGATTTTCTCTTGAAAGAACACCAAACAAGTTTAGGTAATTTAAATCATTTGGATCTCAGCCATAATAAATTAGATAGTGTGCTTGTGGAGGAGCATTTTGCAGGCCTATTGAATTTAGAGTATTTAGACTTGTCGTACAACCCTCTGAGATCAGCTATCAACCAAAAATGGGTTCCACCATTTAGATTGAAGGTTGTAAAATTCCAATCATGCCAACTGGGACCCATCTTTCCAGAGTGGCTAAAATGGCAATCTGACATTGATGTTCTTGTTCTCAGTGATGCAAAGCTGGATGATGTTATTCCTGATTGGTTTTGGGTAACATTTTCTCGAGCTTCAACCTTGCAAGCATCAGGAAACAAATTGCGTGGCTCATTACCAGCAAATCTACAACACATGTCAGCTGACTATATACATCTCGGGTCCAATAAGTTGACAGGTCAAGTTCCACAGTTGCCTATAAATATAAGCCGACTGGACCTATCTTCAAACTCTTTATCTGGGTCATTGCCGTCAAAGCTAAATGCTCCTGCACTCGAAGACTTGATGCTTGCAAATAATCAATTAACAGGCACCATCCCGTCGTCTATATTCCAATTGACTTCTCTGTATAGGTTGGACCTATCAGGAAACCATTTAGAAGGAGATATTATGCAGTGTTGGGAGGAATCTGATGCAAACTCTACAAGTCAATTTGGTTGGAACTTGTTCAGCTTGGCCCTAAATAACAACAACCTGACTGGTCAATTCCCTAAATTTCTTGCAAGGTCATGGCAATTGATGTTCCTTGACCTTTCTATTGGGAATTGATGTTCTAAAGCGTGACTACACCTTCGCAATCTACAATCTATTGGCAATTCTTGATTTGTCAAGTAATAATTTGGCAGGGCAGGTTCCAGAGGAGATAACTCTACTCATTGCACTTACCAGCCTGAACTTATCAAATAATCTGTTCATAGGAACAATCCCAAACCAAGTTGGTGATTTAAAGAGGTTGGAGTCACTCGACCTATCCTTCAATGAGTTTTCTGGTGCAATACCCTCAAGCTTATCAGCTTTAACTTATTTGAGCCACTTGAACTTGTCATACAACAATCTGTCCGGTGCAATACCATCCGGCCAACAGCTACAAGCTCTTGATAACCAGATGTATATCTACATCGGTAACCCTGGTCTTTGTGGAGATCCTGTTGGCAGGAGCTGCTCAACACATGATGCAGAGCAAAGTGGCCTTGAAGATATAGATCATATGCCATCTGTTTATCTTGCCATGAGCATTGGATTTGTGGTGGGTCTGTGGACAGTTTTCTGCACCATGTTGATGAAGAGGACATGGAGGGCTGCCTTCTTCCAGTTTGTTGATATGATGTACGACATGGTTTATGTGCAAGTGGCTGTAAGGTGGGCTCACGTGATGGAGAAAACTCAAGACGGTGCACCATGAAGTGCCAAACTCCGCAGCAAGCGAATTGCATGTATCTAAATAGTATTTGCACCATATCTCTATTTGTAGCTCTAAATGAGCCTTGGCTGGATGTCTGTACTCTATTGTATTGTTATTTGTATGTTTGCACCATAGCTCTATCTGTTGCTCTAAATGAGCATTGGCTGGACGTTTGTACTGTATCGTATTGGTATTTGTATGTCTATACTTGAACCAATGAAGAGCATGTATACGTTTTGCTGGATTGTTTAAGCTGAAGAAAAAATATACTGCCCTATAACTGCACTCTGCCTTTTTCATGTTTTTCGGTAGCTTTGTAGCATCTGTTCCCAGAGAGTGATAATTCATTTACATAGCAAAGAAAAAAGCACCTGTTGGTTAATATAAAAACATATTTGTTTGTTAATATTAAAACATATTTGTTTGTCTGTTCAGCATCAAGGAGCAGAGGAGGAAAGCTCTGTTCCATTTGAGCTGACGTTTCTTTATTTTGGTGAGGTAAACTGTATCGACTCAACCATGCCCATCATGGCTGTGTTTACCAGCGAAGTGAGAAGCTCGAGGCCGACCAGTCCAAGTCCTTTGAGTGCGACCACGCCTGCATCTTTGGTGGTTACAGGGTGCCCAGGAGGTAAAAGTGAAAGTAAGAAGAAAATAAGTGTATGTTTTATGTCTACAGACTGTTTCATTTCAGAAAAATTGGATTTTTTTGCGCCCAGGAACTGAAGCCAGTATAGAATAACAAGTGTATGTAGTATAAATTCACTGGTGTGCATGATGGACATTTAGAACAAAGAAACAAATTGTGAGCAGTCACAAACCGCGTCGTATCCCATAGTCAACACTAACGTCTGTAATCTTCAGCTATTAAACTTGTTTCCAGGGGAAAAACTTCAGTTGTTAATATCAAAACCACCATTTAAACTTCAGCTGAATTGTTTTGGGTACTGTGTGGAGTCACTTCTTTCTCCCAATCTCCTGTTTCCTTCTACAACCCGGTACCTTGCTCTTCCTTCTCCAGTTTACTGATATGATATACAAAATGATGGATAAAACTCAAGACAGTGCACCATGAAGTGCCCACCCCGCGGCAAATGATGGATAATGCTATCTGTACGCTTGCACCATATCTTTATTTCTAGCTTTAAAATGGACCTTGGCTGGTCGTCTGCACTGTACTGTATGGTTATGTTTCTACATTAGCAAATGAAGTGTATGCATAGGTTTTTGCTGATTGTTTAAGCTGAAGAAAAATATAACGGCACCTATGCATTTTTGGTGGTGTTCAGTTTGCTTTGTACCATCTATTCCCAGTAATGTTCTGTTTGCTTTGTTCACTGCAGGTAGCCTTATTCATGTTAGTCTGAAGTTGCCATTTGAGCTGACATTTCTTTGCTGCAAACTGTAGCGACTCGACCATGCATGCATCTCTCTGCTGTAGCGAGCAAAGCACAAGTTCAACATACAGTCGGGTAGCTCTATTTTGATTGATTTTAAGATCGATGGTAATTTAGCATGCCTCTTGACAGACAACATTTCTTCTCTGTTTCACTGACCCACTCTGTGATGCTCTGCTTCATAGTTCTAAAGGAGCCTTGGTTGGACGTTTGTACTGTACTGTATTGGTATCTGTATGTCTATACTTTGACAAATGAAGCGTATATATATGTTTTGCCGGATTGTTTAAGCTGAAGAAAAGAATATACAGCCCTATAACTGCACTCTGCCTTTTTTATGTTGTTTGGTTTGCTTTGTATCATCTATTCCAAGAGAGTGATAATTTATTTGCATAGCAAAGAAAAAGGCACCTGTTGGTTAATATGAGAACATATTTGTTTGTATGATATCTCTGAAGGCAAGAGAGTGCTTGAACTCTTATTCATGTTAATTTGAAGCCTCCATTTGAGCTGACGTTTCTGTATTTTGGTGAGGCGAACTGTATCGACTCGAAGACGCCAGCCGAGGCTGTGTTTGCCAGCGAAGTGGGAAGCTCGAGGCCGACCAGTCCAAGTCCTCGGAGGAGGTGACTCTGGAGCCCTTTGAGTGCGAGCACGCCTGCATCTTTGGTGGTTATAGGATGCCCAGAAGGTACAAATGAAAGTAAGAAGAAAGTAAGTGTATGTTTTATGTCTACAGACTGTTTCATTTCAGAAAATCAGATTTTTTTGTTTTGCGCTCAGGAACTGAAGCCAGTACAGAATAACAAGTAGATTCAGTACAAAATTTACTTGTGTGCATGACGGACATTTAGAACAAAGGGACAAATTGTGAGCAGTCACAAACCGCGTCGTATCCCATAGTCAACACCAACGTCTATAATCTTAAGCTATTAAACTTGTTTCCAGGGGAAAAACTTCAG